TATCATGGGTTAATAAGTGTTAAATGAAAGACTGAGTAATGAATGAATGTGAGATGACACCTTGACTATGCATTGAAGGGTCTGGAAACCATTCCCTCCCAATATGTCCCTTTCCCATGGATGCTTCTCTCTCTCTCCCTCCCTCCCACTCTATCTGAACAAAAAATGGAAAAATGTCCTCAGGTGAGGATAAAAATAAATAAATAAATAAATAAATAAATAAATAAAATAATCATAGCTGATAGTCACAGAGCTTACTATGCTACATGCGCTCTCTTTATTGTCTCGCTTGATTTTCCTACTCTTAGGAAGTTGGTACTATTATCAGCCTCTTATAAAAGAGGAAAATGAGGCTCAGAGAGTTGAAGCTGCTGGCCCAGCTACACAGCTGGTAATTGGGGCCAGCACTTGGCGGCAGGAAAGATTCCGGAGCCTGAGCCCTCACCACTATGCGTGTGCAAGCTCACATCCACACTTGAAGGTGCGTACGTGTCCCCTTTGGTTTATACATTGTAATTACTTTATAATATCCACAGAATCATAGATGGTTGGGAGTGGAAGTCACCCTAGGGATGACCTATCTGACCCCCACTTATGATTTCACACACACACACAACTGAGGACTTGCCTTAGAGAAATCGTTCTCAGTTGAGCAAGTTTCAGAATCACCTGGTTAAAACACAGATCTCTGGGCCCACAACAGAGCAGCTAATTCGGTGGGTCTGGGATGGGGCCCCAAATCTGCATTTCTGACAAGATCCCAGGGGATGCTCCTGCTGTGGTCCTGGGACCTCACTGTGAAAACCACTGCGTGACAGCAAATGGGACATGATAAGGTCCATAAGACCCACTGCAGTGCTTTGCTTGAATGTTCTTGGTAGAGCCTTGACCGGACACACAGTCCCAATAGGGTCATCCTCACTTGAGTCACTTGTTCTTAAATAACGCTCTCTTTGGCTCCTAGCAGCAGAACCAGGATGTGGCAGCAGAATTCTGTAAGTGCCCTCCTCCAAAAGAGATTGCTCACTCCTTATTCCCCCAGAACCCGTGAGTGCGGTAAGAGTACCATTCCTGTGATCGTGTTGTTATATGTCACAGTTGATGTAAAAAAGGGATTATCTGGGTGGGTAATATTTTAATCACATGGGTCCTTAAAAGCAGAGAACTTTCTATGGCTGTCGCAGCAGAAAAATGAGGCAGAAGGAGAAGGTGGAACAGGAGGTGAAGGAGATTTGAGGTCGGGGAATGACTCGAAATGCTGGAGCTGCTTTGAAGACGGAGAAGGGGAGTAGGTGACCGCTAGAAGTGGAATAACCTCTCTATGAAAAGGGGCTGAATTTGCCCACAATCAGAACGAGCTTAGGAAAAGGCTTCCCTAGCACCTCTGGCTAAGACAGACGTCGGATCTACAGAACTCTGAGCTACTAAATGAGGGTCGCTGCAGCCTCTGTCTGTGGTTTCACCACAATAAAAATCAATGCACAAGTACATATGTTCCTGAGTTCAGGAGGGAGCTACTACTGCCCAGTGCAGACCCTCCCCATCCAAAAGATCCTCAGACCACAAGCTGGGCCCCTGGGAAGCTCACCTTGTTGTTTGCTGAAAAATGTCAGTGGAGATTGTGACCTAAATTCCATTTCCATCAAGGTAACATTCAGTTTAATTTACAAAAAAAAGAAATCTAAAGGTTATCCACTAGAACACCTTGAGAACAGCTGGCCCCAACGACCCTCAGCAGACACAAGCTGGCTCAACAGCACAGACAGATCACTGTCAGCGTGTGCCCTTCATGGAAGAGCAGTTTAAAAACAGTTTAGCAAAACAGGCTGTCCTCCTGCACTGCTGCTCGGTCACATCACATCCTTCCCTGTTTCTGAGATTAATCATCTATAGAGCTGAGGCACAGTCCCTCACCAGGATGTGGGGAAGCTCAAGCAAGAGGGTGGGATACATGTGCAGGGTCGTTATAGCAACGACCTCCCCCCCCAGATATTCTTATGATTCTTGTAACAAAGCAAAATGCGTGGGGATAGTTTTGGTTCTCAACATGACCAAAGTATAGTTAGAATAGTACAGCCATCGTCCAACCACTATGTCTTTTTATTGTGAAAAGGTGAATATAGCTGTCTGTTCCCACAGTCAGACACAATTCAAGTAAATGGAACAGGTTGGCAGTGGATAATCCCTACTGTTGAGATTTCCCCCAAACACCTCCCTCCACCTGACTAATAGACCCAACACTCACTGAAGTGCAGATTCATCTCTCAGGGTTGGGGTTCCACATGTTCCACCCAGGACCCTTACTAGATGCATCGATCCTCTTACCACAAGTCCGACAGGGGTGCAGCTGAGTAGCACACATGGCCTTACCATGTTCCCTGCAAGTCTGCAGCCTTGGCCCTCAGAAGGCACAGAGCTGGTCAGGGCATGGCTTTCGGACCCTAGCTGGCCCTCTCCATGACAGCTGCCCCCTTTTGCTGCTTTAGTCCTAATGGCCAGCCACGTCACAGCTGCCTAGTGCAGGACCCCAGGACCAGACCAGCTTCTGGATTTCCAAGTAGTCAGGAGCTGTATGTCCGACTGTTTTCCTCTCACAGTAACTGAATTCGGAGTTGAATCCAAGGACCAGTTTCCTCACCCAGTCATACCCTCCAGACCACTTCTGCGTTTGCTGATTTTTCTCCCCATTGCGGAGTGGCGGTGGCTAGTGACAGGGTTCTCCTCTGCAGAGCAGAGCTCCCAGCCCCTTTCCTGTTGCTTCTTTCTCCTCCCCTCACGGCCTCTACTGAGCCCGCCCCCTACCACAGTATACTTGGAGTGGTTGAAATATTTGGTACTTTTCTTGCTACTAGAGGTCTGGTGGTATTTCATCTGTGGTCAAATCAAGTGAATATGGCCCATGCTGCTGCGAACACAGACTGTACTGCAGGCTCATGGTCCGAGCAGATAGAATTTTGAAAGATGGATTTGTCACTTTACCAAACTTTTTAAAAAAGTCATTTGATCTCTCTCTCTCTCTCTCTCTCTCTCTCTCTCTCTCTCACACACACACACACACACACTTTCATAAAGCAATTTCCTTCCCACCACGACATAGTCAATCATCTGTTTTGTTAGCAAATACACGACCATGCTAGTTTCATTTCCCGAGACTTCTCCGATAAGCTCTGAAAACTCTGTTTTTGTGGTTTTAGTGTCACTTTTCATTCATGTCTTTGAACTGTAATCATTTCAAAATTACAATTTTTAACTAGGAATGTGGATTGGTGGTTAAAAACAGGAAGTTTGATATGTAAGTCTGAAAAACAGTGAAAATACACAAGAAACTTCGGAAAATTTGGAATTCGACATTCTTGATAACGGTGACAGAGTGTTGTCCCCATGGGTCCCATCAAGGACTTGCCAGTAAACAAGACTGAATGAGTGAGGATACAATATGGGTGATCTAAAATCTTGGGACACCCTTGGATGTCCACATGGACAAAAATCCAAGCAATATCACTGGCTAAATAGTGACAATTCAGTCAACATTCTTCTGTGGAAGACTGTATTTTCCAGAGAGCGGCATTAATATCTCCTACCTGCACGGTGACCTTGACGTTCTTTTGAGAGGAAGAATCTAATTTCCTTCCTTTTGTATCTGGGCTGGCTTAGTGACTTGCTTGAGTAATAGACTGAAATGGGGCAGACACCTCTGGGAAGATACCCGAGGAGCTGACCATCTGCTTGGTTTCCCGTCTGGCTGGCAGTGAAGCTGGAGATCACAGGCTTTGTTCTGTAGCAGGGAGAGGCACTGCAGTGGAGAAGCAAGTTCCCTGGTCTCCCAGGAGCATTGGGATTAACTTGGAGTTGAATTTCGAAAGGTTCCCAATCACAAGAGCCACCTGGGGCACTTATTCTCCTTTGGAAATTTTGGTTCTGTGTTTCTGAGTTGGGAGCTCAAATTTTACCTTTTAAAAAAGTGGCCTGGATGATTTTTATCATCAGGAAAGTTTGGGAAGCCCTGACTTAGGACAAGAGAGCAACTCTTTTCCTTTTGTTCAATGTCGCCAAAAAGGAGCTGATATAATATGTAACCACTCAAGAGAGACATCTGTGCGCCTAAGATCTATCCAGGAAAGAAAGAGGGCCACATTTCTATTCTGTGGAGGAGGACACCCATGGGGTTGCTTTGAAGGAGTTCTGTAGTGATGAATGACATATAATGTCAGTGAAGATGGGGCTTTCTTCTCTAAATGAGCTTGGGTTTGATTGCAAAACATAGCAAGCTTGAAAATACATCTGTCTACTTTAACCTTGGGAACCAGGGACTGTGCTGCCACCATGGGGGGAGTGAGGATCTGAAGCATGTGTCCCCAAGACGCTAGGTCATGCCTGATGCTCATTTGGCCTCTGCCAACGATGCAGTGCATGGGAAGGTTTCCTGTGGTGTCTCTCCTCTCCACAGCTGGAATTATTCCCCAAATGCTGAAAGCCAAAGGCACATGCGAAGCAGGAAGCAACACACATACATGGCCAAGTCTGCCTATTTCTAATGGGCTGGCCCAGCAGGAAAATTGAGGTAGGTGGCTGATATGTCAAGGGCCCTTGCCTGGCCAGAGGCCCTGGAGGTCACTCTGCCATTTCTACTGTCCTGGTTTTGACAAGACACAAAAGGGCCTTGGAGCAGTGCCCAAGTGTCTCAAAAGGCACCTCCTAGCACATAGGCAGCTCAATCAACACTTTGTGAATGAGCGAGTGAATGAATGGGAATGAGAGCGCTTGCCATTGAACTGAAAACAGAGACCTTCAGTTGTTCACAATTATGAGAAAACTTCAGGCTTCATTTCTCAGACCTTTATTCTTCTACACAAAGTTCAGGCCTTTGCCTGTTCTGCTCTGTTAACCACAGAAGCCCAAAGTTCTTCCATAAGTAATCTGAACCTGGGGTTGGTTTGCTCTGCTCTTAGGAGCTCTCATAATCCCTTTCCCTCTAAGACGCGGGCGATCGCATGCGGACGATGGAGCAGGGCAGCAGGCCCTTGGAGGACTTCCCTCTCAACGTGTTTTCGGTTACTCCTTACACAACCAGCACCGCAGACATCCAGGTGTCCGACGATGACAAGGCTGGGGCCACCTTACTTTTCTCAGGCATCTTCCTGGGACTGGTGGGGATCACCTTCACCATCATGGGCTGGATCAAATACCAAGGGGTCTCCCACTTTGAATGGACCCAGCTCCTTGGGCCCATCATGCTGTCGGTCGGGGTGACATTCATCCTGATTGCTGTGTGCAAGTTCCAAATGCTTTCCTGTCAGTTCTGCAAAGAAAGTGAGGAAAGGATCCTTGACCTGGAGCAGACAGCAGGAGGACAGTCGTTTGTTTTCACTGGTATCAACCAACCCATCACCTTCCATGGGGCTACTGTGGTGCAGTATATCCCTCCCCCTTATGGCACTCAAGAGCCCCTTGGGATGAACACCCCCCACCTGCAGCCAGTGCTGACCCCGTGTTGCCTCACGCCGTCTGGAGTGGTGGCTGCTGCCACGCCAAGCCCTCCTCAGTACTGCACCATCTACCCGGCCGAGAACTCTGCCTTTGTGGATGACCAGGACTACCCTGCCTTCGTGGATGGTGGAAATGACAGGTATGGTGTTGGGGGGGGAACCCCCTCTTCCGGCGGACACCGTCACAGGCTAAGGCTATGCTTGGTCTACCGGGAAGGCGGTGTGGGAAAACAATTCTCTGTGCAGCCTATTGCCAGGCTGGTGGCACTGGTTTGGGCAGCGGTGCTGTAACACTGTGTTTTCCGCTCACATTTCAGGTCCAGCCCTGGTGCTGAGCAGCTAGAAGACACCCAGTGGGGACAGGAGGACTCTGCTTGCTTCTCTCCTCCCCCCTACGAGGAAATCTTCTCCCTTCCTCACTAGAGACCAAATGCCGAGGGGACAGCATTTAGGTCACTGTTGCTGACACGTGAAGTGTTCTGTGCTGTAACTTCAGGAGTCCGACCGCAGAGAGCCCAGGCAGCCCGACAGACACCGTTCAATGGGGGTGGGAGGGGAAATGTCTCAAAGTGGTAAAAATTAGGCTGGGGAGAGAAATGACCTTCTGATACTGCTGTCCCCAGACAGTTCAGAAGGAGGAATCTCCTCTGTTTACCCATCACTCACTCCTTTCCTACAGCAAGTCACGTCGTCTGGGTTTTCACCCCAGCAGGCAGGGGATCACTACTGCTGTGCCTTTGGGGGTTTCCCCAGTAGTGAGAGTGGGGTGGGAGGCCAGCAGGAAAGAGAAAACAGGTTCAACTGCAGCTTCCCCAGAGCCTGTTCTCGGTTCCCAAGGCAGATCAGCACATCCCAAACAACTTGGCTGCCATTGGGTGTCCCCTGAGGACCTGCTATTTAAAAAAAATTTTTTTCCTTTATTGATTTTAGAGAGAGAGGAAGTGAGAGGGAGAGAGAGATAGAAACATCGACGAGAGAGAACATTGATTGGCCGCCTCCTGCATGCCCCCCACTGGGGATCGGGCCCACAACCTGGGCACGTGCCCTGACCGGGAATTGAACCGGCAACCTCCTGGTGCATGGGTCAGTGCTCAACCACTGAGCCACACCGGCTGGACAGGACCTGGTATCTTAAAGGCCTCATAAACAAACAAACAAATAAATGAAATAAAATAAAGAACATCTGTTAGGATATTAGATAGGTGGCTAAACCATACTAAATAAATAATAATAGGACAATGATGTCATTAAATTCTTAAGTTATGGTGGCGGCGCAGTGACCCTTGGCTGTTGATATTCTTGTCTGCAAGGCTGAAGCCTGAAGTATCCACCCAGGTTGGGATCCGTGCTGGGCATGGCCCACCCGGCCCAGTGCCGACGGAGCCCGGGACTTCTCCAAGCACCGAGAAGAGTTCTGTTGCGTTAGACAGAATAGAGCTGCCGTGTCAACACCTGGGAAGTCACCAATTGAGGAAACAATCTCTACGCCCAAGACAAGCTCATCTTCTTTATAAAAAAACAAAAACTCAAACACGTGGTGCCCTCAATTTCCCTGAATCTGGACTGTGTAATAAACAACCAGAACAGACTCACAGACTTTGGAAGAGACCGTTAAAATCAGCAGGTTTTAAGCGAAAATATTTTCCTTAGGTTACAAAGGTAACCTAAGCCACTCAGGGCTACACAGGGAGGCTAACCCAAAGCAAGACAGGCTTTAGCAATTCTTCAAAGTTTTGGTAGTCTGTTCATAGATGGAGTGATATTTACTAATTTTTATCAGAAATATCTAGTTATCCAAGGATGTGATTAATACAAGCTTTGTAGAATATTGTGATTTGTATCATATCCTGGGAACAAAATCTTTTCATATGACAATTCATTTTCATGTTTGATGATAGAAGGTGATGGAAAAACATAATTCAGTTCACAGAAGCTAGCTTTGGACGCAACGTGTTCATGAAATACTGGAGTCCCAGCTGAGGGCCACTGGCTCTGGGGGGAAGTTGGGAGACAGGGACATGGTTGAGCGTCAGCAGTGACACCTGCAGCCCTGTATGCCTGCCTCCTTCACCCCTTTCCCCCTCATCCTCACCCACCCTACAACTTCATATAACTGGGCTTGGGTTTGGCATAAAGGGATGCTCAAATGGAAAAAAGAAAGTTAGGAAAGGATGTCTTTGTGGGAAAGCTGGGAGGGCAGGACAGTGGACTGTCTGGGTGACACCAGGAATCCCACATGCGAGGAAGTGGCCTTGGGGAGTGTTTAGCTCCAGACAGCAGCGACTAAACTGTCCCTGCTCTAGGACAGTGAGAACGTGCTAACCGTGGAGGTAACTCATACCTCTGCAGACAGTGTGTCGGAGCTAACAGCCTCAGGAGCTCAAGACGGGAGGCTGGCCTGCAACAGTCAAGGGGTCAGAACATGGGAATTTGTTTGCTCGGTCAATATTTATTGATTGAGCATCTACTTTGTGTCAGGACTGGGGCCATCAAGCGGGGATGTAAAAGGGAAAAATCAAACCAACAGAAGAGCAGATCTGACTCTGCTCCTGCAGAGCTTCTAATCTCCTGGGGGAGACACAGATCAATTATTCTCTGATACCAAAGAGAGGTGCTGCGGCTGTGAGAGGGATTTGAATCAGTCAGGAGAGTCCCAGGAGTTTTCTAGGTGGGGAGTGAAGTAAAGGCCCTTGCCTAGGGAGCACTGTTCACACGGACAGCCAGGGACGGGTGTTGTTGGGCCCTGAGGACTGTCCTGGGAACTGAAGAGCCAGTGCCCATACAAGGAGGAGGAGGGAGCTGCCTGGCACAGCCCCCAGTGGGCGAGGTATTAGGAGGGGCCTTGCAGGCGGTGGAAACCTTCATGTTTCACTGCCGCTACAGCCCTCAAACAGAGCTGCCTTCCAGTGCCTGACAAATGACCCCACCAGCACGCTTGCTTCAGGACAATCCCACAATGCTCTCTTTCTGTCTGTTTGGGGTTGCTCGGTCTCTGACCAAGGAGGACACATTCCTGGCAGAGTGTCTGGGTTGTTGCCTGGCCATTTGCCATTCTCTCTGAGCATCTCATCGCGGTGAAAGGAGAACTGGGATCTGGGGATAGTGAGCTGAAGTCTGTCTGGCCCCCGACGCGCTCTCCACCCTGAGATTACTGTGGAGGCAGTGGCCTGCCTTTGCTCATGTGCTCAGAGGCTCCGCGTCCAGGCCAGAGCCCTGGGCCTTGTCAAACGTTTTGGTATATATCTGCAGAGCAGTTGGGAAGCTGTTAATGTGTTTGAATAATACCTATGACCTGATTCTGAGCACTTACTGTTAGGGCGAGACCCAGAGACTTGGGGGTGTAGTAGTGATCTTGCTGGCAAGGTTCAGATCTAAGCGACCAGAAAACCAGAGGACATCCCTCTCCTCCACCTCGACACCGTGGGGCCGGGCAGGTAGGCACATTCGGGTGAGCTACATGGAATTCTAAATAAAAGCTAAAAGGCCTTGTTCATCAAAGAAGACAGGCTTCTTAAGAACTTGAGGTTATCTACAAACATCTGTGAGTCCCTCTGGGCTCCTTTTGGCTGGAGAAACTGAAGACGGCTGACAATCTTGACAGGCCGGGAAGGGATCATCCAGGCCTGGGAAATGAGGCCTAGAACAGAGCAGAAGAAGCTTTCATAGAGCTCTTAGGACTCCTTTCTCCCCTTGGACCAACAGAGCGGCTGGTCCCCTGTGCAGTGTGGACCTGCACCCACTCCCTCGGCAGAGCTCCTGGGGGTATCTCAGGCTCGAGAACTCCTGAGATCGCAGGTGCCCTCTCCTCTGCTCCCCTGAGCCAGGCACCGGTCTAAATTTCAAATGCACTAAATGGTTCTCTGATACAAAGCCAGCCCTTTAAGTGTTCTCTATTTTGCGAGGGTGGGGGGTTATACAGTATAAAAATAAAACCTATTGTTTGAGAAGAGCTGGCCAGGGTGTCTGCTTTCAGCTTCTGACCTCGGGTCTCCTCGGCCTTGTTTACTGCTGCATCGCTGGGGCAGGGTTGTGATGAAGCCCCGCACCCCTGGGCAGCTGGTGTTTCTCCTCCAAACAGACACTCCTCACAGTGACCGTGCGTAGATGCCTTCTTACCGAGAGAATGAGCTTTCTGCACATGGCATGGAGGCGACTGCGGCCCAGTGCTCGGAGTGTCCCCATCTGTCCCGGAAACCAGGGTGCCGTCTGCAGCTCCGACCACTCAGCGTTCCCCAAAGGTTCATCCAGAGCCCGCTACACAACCCGCGCTCCCCGTCCTGTTGAGTAAATGAAATGAATAAATGAAGAACTTTTCAAGTAGGTAAGGATCATTCTACCTCAACTTAGCTGTTTCATTGTTTTCTACATTATGAAAAATTTCAAATAAATATAAGAGTAGAGAGAATAGGACATGAAACCCTATGTAGCCATCACCAAACAGCACCTCATGGCCAAACTTGTTTCGTTTGTAGCCCCACCTACAACCCCCCAACTAGATGTTTAAAGCAAATCCAAACCATTAAATTATTTCATCCTGAAAGTACTTCATTGTGTATTTTCAAAAGATAAAGACTAAAAAAAAAAAATACGATACCATTATTATACCTTAAAAATTTTATAATTCCTTGATGTCATTAAATATCTAGTCAGTGTTTAACTTCCTCCAATTTTCTACATTTTATTTTTACCTCTTTGTTTTGTTTGAATCAGGATCCAGATGAGATTAGTTTTTGCTAAATGCATCCTAAGTTTCTAACTACAGTTGGCACACTATTCATGGTAGCAGATTTATATTTATTAAATTTCACTTTCCAAACAAAACCATTTTTCAAGATGTTTTTACTCCTTATCTCCTTCTCTGCCGGTTCCCTGAGACGCTAGGTATCCTTTGGAATTGGAAACTTATTTGTTCCTACTTTTAGCATATTATTTAGCATATTATTAGAGATTTTTCTAAGAATAGGCCCAGAAAAATATATACATGAAAAGAAAAAGAATCTTTGATGTTTAGTTGAGAAATATCTGTTGCAGATTAGTTTCAAAAGTATCAGAAAACACTGACAACCTTTAGCATTTTTGGCTTGGTCAGTAATACATTTTAGGAAAAAAAAATGTTTTTTTCCTTCAGAGACCAGAAACACTCCTTTGAACATATCTGAAGTGGGAACTAGAGTCTCCTCCTTAAGAAATAAAGGGCCAGGCCTCTTGCTCTGTATTAAAATATTATCTGGTACAATTTTACTTCTAGAGGCTATTAACTATGGGCCTCTTCCCAATGAGTTCTCAACTCTCCTCAAATTAAAAATGAGTCTATTTCTGCACATGTGTACAAATCTTCCTTTGAAGGTGAGTGTGTGTGTGTGTGTGTGTTCCCCTACACTCCCTTAGTATGTGATTTATGGATTTCTTGCCCACTTACTACT